GGCATGCAAATTATGCAAAAACCCACAACTTATAGGCCGAAAAATACAGTATGTCTGTTTCTCATGAATTTTTGGTCACCGTGTCCATTAACAAACTAAAAGTATTGTGTATGATGTGTGCAGAGGTGTTTTTATTGTATTCTATAGATTATAAGGACTCAATCATTTGGTGCTGGGGTGTTTGTGAATCTCGAGTCACTCACCGTGTACTGATGCAGTCCTTCAACTCACATCAGAGACAAGGACAAGTTGCAGCGATGATTTTTGAAGGCAGTGACAGAAATTGTAGCTTTGAGTTTCTTAAATGAGCTTTTCAAACCTTATAATAAAGATATTGTGGACGGGTTCTGAACAATTAATATATAGCAGCTGCTGCTGCATTAAGCACTTAAAGTTAACCATATAATCTATGGAAAGAAGGGTGTTTTAAGCATAAATATTTCAGATTTGTTGTTCATTATTATTAGTATTGTTTTATAAATGTTCAACTGTTACAACCCCTATCCCATGACGCCTCCACCCCTCCTTCCTCCTCCATCTTCCTGGCCCCCCTCCAAACATACGGCCACCTTGCAGCAATGAATGCTTCTCGCATCTCCTTTACTAATCTAAGCCTAATTATCGTAGCACAACAAGTGTCAGCACAATAACAAACCGTTCAAAAGCAGAAAAAGCATCTTAACTAGCGCTAATTTCAGCTATCGCTTTATGATTTAGAACTCTTACCTGTTGCTTAAAATATAAACGTGTCCACGGGGCTGGTTGCAGCAACAGAAAGCTGATCGGAGGCTTTGGGCACCGAAACGTGTTCTCTGCTATTTCTGCAAGCTGGGAATCTTAACCATCTAATGCACACGTGTCAAACTCGAGGCCCGGGGGCCAAATATGGCCCTTGTTGACATCCTAGCTGGCCCTCAAGATGATCTTAAAAAACAAAATGTGTTTTATTGCTTCTCATTTTATCTAAAGACTGAGCAGTCTTTAGTGCTGACTTCTCATGGCTACTTTGATGCCAAGAAAAATTTGTTTAGATTTTTTTTTAATGTGGAAAAAGCGACACAGAACGTCAAATGAAACTCTTGTTGAGGAACTTGCAACCAAGACAAGATGTCCGGTATCTGACTGGAGTTAATGTATTGACAGAAACTGGCCCTTGGTTAGAAATACATTTGTAATTTTGGCCCACTTTTGTGACCAAGTTTGACACCCCTGATCTAATGGATCAACGAAGAGCGGGATGAAACTTAGCTCACGAACGTTTGCAGTTTCTATTTTACAATCCTTTCAAAATAAACTACAATGGCAGAAACGTTTGCTTGGATGCTACAAGTATCTTTTTATCTAGTTATTTTTAATTAGAAGTGGTGTAAATGCGCTCAGACTGCAAAAGCACCATTAAAAAACAGCTTGACGTCTCACTACAAGGTCATGGTGTTAAAAAAAAGAAGTCTGCTGTGATGGTTGCGTTCATTCTTCAAATTTGCTCATTTCAAAAAGTCTTCGAATATTAAAAAAAAAAAATCGCTGTCTGTCCTTAATACCCGTATTCACTCGATCTAGCTGTTAATTAGTTTGATCAGAAATAAATTAAATTTTTATAAAGCGAGGTCTTTCAAAGAGCTACGTACTGCAAATAAATCATTAACTGTTCATGATTTTTTTTTAATAGAACCCAGAATTTGAACTGTTGTTTTTAAGGCTTGAGAAAACCATTAAAACTCATATTATTAAAGATATAGATAATGAGGAAAAACATGTCAAAACCTCTGCCTCTTCAATCATAACTATTAGTTGACATTAAAGAATAAATTTAATATTATCTCAACTTCCTTTTTTTTTCCTATAGAAACTTCCAGATTAGATTTGCAGCACATCATCCGCTCACCCGACACCTTGTTAATCCATCCTTCAGGGAAACGGATCGTCTGTTTATGTCGTAAAACGGAGCAAGGTCGAGTCTGAGATTGTGTTTGTGTGCGTGTCTGTCAATCACTGCAGCATCGTCCACTTGGTCAGGACATGCTGGTTTACTTCAAGGACACGCACACACGTGCGCATGCACTGCAAAAACACTTTCAGCCTTTGGTCTGCGCTTAATTGCCGGACATACGAGCTCCTTCTAAATCCCACTGATCTGCTGCTTTTATTTTGGAAACAAAGACAGGTGCTGGACCTTTGTGGTTCGACTCTCAGCTGCTTCCTTTTCAGATTTCATCCTTTATTATTACTTGAGACAGCATGGGGTTCATGTGGTATATTAATAAGGGAATTATGTGAAGTTTATCACGTTTTGTTTCCTGATGTGTGCGTTTCAGAAAACAAGAACCCTGGTATTCAGTGACGCTTCTCTCGGTCGTTAATAATTCAGAGGTCTTGCCGGGATGAACTTGGCGCTGCAGTCGGTCTGCTCTTTAAAAAGGTCGTCTGTGCTCGTTGTGTTGTTTCTCCTGTGGCCAAAGTTCAGGCTCAGTCCCGACTGTAACAAGCAGCACACATTAACAGGCTATTTGTGGTGCGAGCAGACGAGGTGACGTTAGAACAGAGCTGTTATCACTCATCAGATGTTATAAGTTCATCACGGGACTCTGACAGGTTTGTATTTTGCAGCGCACACCTGGATCGTATCAGCAAGCTGTTTGCAGTGCGCGTACAACAACGTCACTGTTAAAGTCAGTAAAAATAGAAGGACAGAAGTCGTATTTTGCATGACATGAACTGCTCAACGGATAAACAGACATTGCCCTTTAGTTCTAAAAGTTATTGCTCGAAAGCAGAGCGATTATTTTGCCCGTGTGTGTTTGTTCGTACCGTTCGACAAATATCTCATGAACAGATTTTAACGAGACTGTCAGAAAGTCGTCGTTCGTACGACTACAACTATTCGGAGTCTGTCCGGTTCAAGTTGGACGCCACAGCTTGGCAACACAAAAACGTCTGTATTGCAGCTAATTTTTAAAAAATAATAATCTAAAGCTCGGTGTGGTAGTAGTTGAGCCAAGTTTCCTAGACGTCTTCCAATCGACACGTCGGGTGATAGCTGTGCTTGAAATGTCGCCATTAACTGTTGGCGCCTCCCCTGGTTGCCTTTTAGCAAAATATTTCATAAACCACTGGGTGGATTTTAACGACACTTTTTTGAAATTAATCTTTATGTATACATCTACAGCAGATTAACTTTTGAAGCCAACCTTATTCAAGGTGGCCACAACAGCAAAAAGCAAAGGTTGTTGTAACTCAGCCAGTTTTACACCGAGCTAAAGTTTGATGCCGTAGTAGCCGAGAGTCGTCCGCAACGTGCGCTAACTGATCTCGCAAACTAACCTTCTCAGAGCTGCACCGGCTGACGGACACTGTGCCATCTTTATCAGGACTATGGAACTTTCTGGAAGTGTTCACGCACCATCTCACCGCCTTTGTCGCCTCCCCGGCAAAATGCCTTATGTCGATCCATGTTGCTCGGTTTTTTTTTATGCTGAGGTAAATTTTTGTGCCCTGTGTGTCAAGGACACAGTGTGAGAGATCTTTTTTTTTTTTTTTTAAATACCTTCTTTCCTCGTGCTTTTCTTCCCTTTTCTTATCTAAGCGATAAAGAGCAGCGCTTCACAACGAAGCTGCAGCCTCCGTGCACTTCCGTCTACCCTTGTGTACGGCTGCACTGAAATGTGTTTTCGCTGTGCTTCACTGTGCATTGACCATAAATTTGATTCTGATTCTGAATATCTTGTACAATGTCATTTACAAGATTTCACTAAAACGGCTATAGGCTGCGATCGCACTGCAGGCACAAGTGGCTCCTCACTCCCGTTCCAGAAGTACACCGCTGCGTCAGAGCATCCAGCAAGAGACGAGATCACACGTAAACACTGGATGAAACCAGCATGTCGGATAATATTTAATTGGCTCCGATTGCACAACAACTTCATAACTGATGCTAACACACACGTGTCGCATCCATATTTACTTCCATAAACAGTTTGTTGCGTGTGACGTCGCATATTTTTCTGCACGTGCATGTCTCATCAAGGCCATAATCCCCACTGGAGTCTGATGGCTGTCACATTTAATGTGAACGGCCACACGAAAAGAATTGGATCAGAGCATCAGATGGAGTCCTTGAATGAATAATGTGCCTTTAATGTGAAGGGTGGGCTTTATCTAAGAGTTCAGACGCATTTATAAGAAACAGATTAAAGTATTTCTCAAGAAATTTTCTAACAGGTTTGAAAATGTCTTTGTTTGTACGGCGTTGAAAAAGCTGAGTGAAGCTGACACCCCACCCACTTCCAAAATTAAAGCAACT